GTTAGAGATGATTAAACTTCGTGAACAAGGCATGTCTATGGGTTCCGAACCATCACCAAAACCAATAAGATTCGTTGAAGAGTCAGATGATGAAGATGCGCCATCTCCTTCATCCTTCCTACTATAAGCATATCAATTTTCAAATTTATATTCACCAATCACTATAAGCTGAGGACAATGTGTATATTACTGATATTCATTTTAATTTCATATCGTTTTCTTAGGCCTAGCACTATTGTGCACTTACTATATGATAGTGTAACATCTTATTAGGCTGTGATATGCATTTACAAGTGAAATAAGGCAAAGATCCGCTTTTCGGCGATTTTCGCTTTACGGCCGGGGTCTGGTCCCTAACCTGCCGTATAAGCGGTGCCCTACTGTAAATACAATTAAATAAATTATTCTCAGAACCAATGCAGTTAGTTCTCACCTCTTGCTATGATACTTCTCCAATTTAGCCTTTGCTTTGCCTGTACCACTAATCCGACGTAAATTGCCTTCTTCTAGAAATCGAATGCGTGCTTCTACTTTCACTTTGTGTTCAGCACCTAAATCCAATGAACAATCTTCTCCTAGAGCATCCACACGAGTAGCCAGTGCTGCTTTAGCAGCCAACATCCTCGAAATCTGAAAAAAGTTACAGCATCATGTAGATACAGTGAATTTCTTCACTTCACATTTCTCAGTATTATATGATTCTCTAAAGGTTTCTGGGCACATTGTCCACTGTCTAAGGCCTCAGTGGTCGAGAAGGTAGCATAAAAGCGGTGTTCAAAAAATCACACGTTTGATCTCAACCAACATAAAACAATATTGGAAAGGCATGTTTCAAAACCTCAATCAAAGCCTCGGACCCTCACTTAATTGTACCTGCACCTTGTGGTGGTGGGGCTTGAGTACCTCAGTGACCGTAAGAGCTATGCTGGCGGTAGCATAGCTACTGGTAGGGCCTCCCTAGCCAGATTGGTCGAGGGGGAAAGGTCAGACTAAGACAGATACCCTGGTCCTCCAGGTTGGGGGTTGGTCACAAGGCTAACAACCTTGCACCGTAAAAAGGAACATGTTCCTTTATATTGGAAAGGCATTCTCAACACAGACAGTGATATCAGCAGGTTGCTTCATCAATGACAATGGTGTAAAGAAACTGTGGAGTTGGATCACTCTTACATGAACTAAATAGTAAAGGCAACAATGGTATCCAAGGTCAATGTAAGCCAACCACCACCTCAGTTTCCATTGTTGAAACAATATATTCCAAACAATGACCTTGTTCTCCATTGCAAAACGTTTCCCAACAATAATCTCAGTGAACTCTATCACAGTATGTCATTCTATGATCATGAATGTATTTCTTTTACCTTGCCCTTATTCACTGTGCTGGTCTGTCCTACAAGAGTGGTATGAAATATCAAGCCATACTTTGGCGTGTCTTTCTTAGTCTTCAAAGCACGGAACAAAGCTTTCTCTGCTCCCAGGATCTGTACAGTAGAAGCTGGATGCTTAGCCAAGTTGATCAAGGAACCTGAAAACCAAACACATGTGATCCTTGACATTTTGGAGACAACTACTAACAGTAAAAAAGTATAAATAAAGTGCTGATGCAGAGCTGACAACTTTCAGTAACAAAACCACCAATAAGCAAGCAGAATTCACTTTCTAATCTTGGTCCATGCAACATTTCACTCAAACATTCTCAATGCATAAATATTATACTTACCAGCATGAGAAATTAACCGTGCCCCAACTAATTCTCCTACTAAAACTGTAAGGTTGGGTGCCATGGCCATCATTCTGCTGCGTAAGTAGTCATACAATTGTGAACGATATGATGAGATCTCAATCACCTGGAATGCATGAAGTCATGTGAATGCCAGCATACATCTAAAATAACTACAACTACTGGAAAGCTACTAAAATATTAACATATTATAATATTTATCTGAATGCAAAGCAGAAAAACATTTTAACAAGAGTGAAAAAGCATACTCCTGTTTTAAAATTACTCTTTGTAATTCCACATAACTTGTGAACCATGTTAATTTATTCCAGATACAAATCCATTGCTGCAAAGCTACTAAACTTTATCAATATGAGACTGTATTGAGACAAATTAGTCCTTGTACTTCATAAAATACACACTCCAGTTAAGAAGAGCATTTCAAATAGATAACCATACATCTTACTGAGATCGGCACCTTATGACCCATATGAGCAACTCATTCTAGTTTTTCAAGAAAACTAATAGCCTGATTTTAGCTTTATGTAGAGGCTATTTTGCAGTAATAAGAAACCCAAATTAAGTTTAAACAGTCAACTCACATGCCAACAACTTTTATCAGACTTACTGTCGTGAAAACCTCAAATCCTACAAACTTTTATTACACCAGTTCTCACATAAAACACACATATGCATTTCAACTCTCACAATGGGATCACGAGTGTCTTCTTCAGAGATCTGATTAAAAATGCACCCCTTCCAACATTAACATTTACAAAATTAAAAATACAAAGTGGGAAAAATATACTCTGTTAAAATTTGCAAAAACCAGTCAGCATTTCATTTCCCTTCCTATTTTAAAATATATTTCACTGTTGGTAATGTAGGTCACTGCAGTACAATCTTGCAATATGCCACTTCTTTAGTTTATATAGGTTACTTGAGTTGCTACCTATGTCTTTCAGAAATCTAGTTTACTCACATTTAACACTATCATGTATGCTGTTATATATATTATTAGATTCACCACTGTTTTGTGTGTACTTGTCACCTTTACTACATGGATATAGCTCCTCTGTAGTACTGGTGGTGCACTACACTACAATGACATAATACAATTATACTAGGTTGCAGTTACAAGAGATCTGGTTGTTTTACAGTTAAGACATCTGTTACTATTATCAGCATTCCTGGTCATACCATTTTTCTTTTACAACAGCTAAATGAAACAACTTACACTCAACATTACATGGTATGAAAGGTTATATGAAAATAAAATTTGCCTGACAATTTTACATGTAAACTTCCAATACTAAACTTAAACAAAATAAATTTAGTAACTTAAAGATATAACGTGGAAATTGAGAGATATATGAAATACCCATTATATGCCAATTTTATATATTTCATGGCAACCATTCTGTTCACACCTGTACAGTATAACTGCAGAAGCATGGACTCCTTACTTCAGGAATAACATGCTTGTAATTATACACATATTAACCTGATCACACAAATGCTGGATATTCATGATATCATCCTCAGATATTTCTGTTCCCATTGATATCTCCGCTGCATCTTTCACTTTTGCCTCTACTTCTTCAGGCAGAATATCCGAGAGGTCAGTAGAACTCGTGCATTCCCGTGTACCTGTGTGACAGAAATTGAAATGATACATTGACAAAGTAACATAAAGTCTAACATAAATATCCATAGATCAACTGATACCCAGGTTATTTAATGACGATATACATGGGATAGCTGGTAAACCTGGCGATACTGAAACCAGATACCTGCTGAATAGAAGTCTAAAGCCGTACTCCTACTGATCAGTGAAAATATCTGAAAAACTGACAACCTGGTTTCTTCCCTTAGCCGTGACATTGCAATCCAGTAAAATAGTCCAAGACTGTAAGTGGGTGCCATCACAGAAATTATAACTAAGTGGTACTGAGTATGACTTGAGATTTTCAGGGCAGATGAGTACAAAGATGGCTGTCTTCTGGGTTGTAGCACTATGTAGTCTGGTAGAAGTTTACTAACATTTCAGAGGTCCTTGTTGCCTCCATCATCAGAGTGATTGAAGAAGAAGGCAGCAAGGACCCCTGAAACATTGGTAAACTTCTACTAGACTACATGGCGCTTCAAGCCAGAAGACAGTCGACTTCTTAGTGGTACTGAGTGTGACTACACTTGTGTCTGACAGAAAATGATAATACCTTAATGCTGAACAAAGCAAAACAATGGAACCCAATTAGGAAAACAATACGGTACAAACCATTCTAGACAAAAAATCATATAAAACCAAAAAACTCATCACCATAATGATGAAGGCAGAAAGCATCTCTGAAACAGGTAAGTTTCTACCAAACTACATGGCGCAACCCAGAAGACAGGTATCTTCATATAATGAGAAAACTGATATTTCAGAAGATGATGACATCACGTCAGTTTATAACATATACTTACCAATAAGTCTGACAGTCTTGACAAAAGCTATGTTATCTGTAATGATTTTTCCAAGTTCTGGAAAGTGCCATCCGTACCATTCTCGACACCTCATGATGTAGTTATTTAACTCCTTGTCTAAATCATCCAGAAGACAAATAGCCTGCACGATCATTGTATCTATCTTGTCAGGACTGAATTTCAGTTTGTACCTGGAAAGGCTGTGAACATAACATATCTTTTAGCATGAGACTATTCAATGTGTATCTTTTTCTGGTGAATCACATAGAAGCCTGATTGAGTACAATACCACAGAATATATAACATAATTATTCAACAATTCATATCTGCTGGAGACATAAAAAAATATGTAAAAATAGGAAAATATTTTAACTTTCCTGGTATTATTACAAATGTACATCAGTAAACAGTGTAATATGTCAAAATAGAAAGGAATGAAATAGACATAAGTGATTGGTCACTATATTATACAATTATATATAAAAAAATGGATTCTATAGGAATGCCACATACATTTTAACCTTGGACAATGGACAAAGTTCAAAACCTCAATAAACCCGGCTAAAAAATATTTGTTTCTAAAAATGTTTATGACATGGTATTTGATCAACACTTATTTGCTAATTGACATAACTTTCATACATGTAATTGGACCCTAAGGTAAACAGCCCTTAAAGTAAATAAAACCCTCATAAAAATTAATAATATTCATAAAACAAAGTTACCTAACCTGTGGCACCAGAAACAAGAGAGCAATGGACCAGATTTATAGAAGATAGCATTTACCTGTGGGCCAACCCCAAGGCCATAGCTGTCATCTCCTTCTTTGGAAAGCCAGCCAGCAAGCTGTCCATCTGTGACCGAATACAACGCATCAGTTCCTGTACTGAAGTATTAGACAGACAGGACAGATTCAACTTGTCTTTTATGGCATTTCCAAGCTTTGCATCAGCCACTAGTAACTGCTCCTGCAGGTCCTTTGCCACTACATTCTTCAGCATCTTTTTCAGTGACTTTGACATCTTTCCTTCAACAGCTGCTGTTGTAGCAGCTAAGGCTTCTGTTGTGTCTGTGAACTTCTCAAAATGCTTCAATTTGACACTATAAAAAATAAAATAAACTTATTGATTTGAAGTTCTCATGGTAGTGAGGATGAAGATGGCAGTTGTGAAGGAAGCAACTAGATTAGGAGGCTTACATAAGTTAAAATAATTATGTTAAGAACAGAAAATAAACAAATCCTGAATTCAGATATATTTATAAGTGGTAACTGTATGTACAACAGAACTAACTTAACCATTCTTTCCTTGTCAATTAGTACTTATATATGTGATATAGTGGAAAATCAATACTCTCCTGTATATTTAATTATATTAAATCCTCTACACATATTTGCCAAACAGTACACTTAATGAAAACGTACGAGAAAAACAAATGGTTATTTTAATTATCTAGGTAAGTGAAATTTCTGTCATTACAAAATTCAGAATAGGTATGTTTATAAAATATGCTTTCACACACATATCTGGTCTCTACAAGATCATAGATTACACCGTAAAATGGGCAGGAGAAATGCATATGATGTAGGAAGCTGATTACTATACTTACACTCTACTGGCCGCTTCTGGCGTTTCAAAATCATGGTAGAGGTTCTCTGTTTTCGTTAGTTTCTTCTGGTCAAGTAACTAAAACATAAAAACCACAGTGATAGCTGATAACATACACTGAAAAAGGCAAATTATTTGAAAGTGCCATCATAACCATAAAAACCATAATTTACACATATATTAACAAAGATTACCTAGTTCTTACCTTAAAAATTGCATAACCAGCAGGAGTTTCAAACAACACCAACATGGTGAAAAATTATACCAACAATACAGTTAATTACAATCAGCAACTTTCAACACACACGCGCTCTCCTTCATCGCCGGTAGAATTTTCCATTGAGTACAACAGAATGCCATGTGATTGTGTCCACAGAGATCATCATTACATGTCACAGAAGACATAACCACGGATAACATATAAATGTAGCAGCTTGGGTATATTTTCTACTTGATTGATACATAAACAGAATGTTACCATAAAAAAGAATAGACAAAGCAACAGAGCCTGCAGTTACATACAAAAACTATGTCTAATAAATAATAATAATAATAATTTTACAATATCCTCATGGAATTTGGCATTCTCATGAAAGTAATTAGGCTTGTAAGATTTGAGGTTAGGTTAGCCTTATTAAAATGTGTTTGAATAAAGTACGTGTAGGTAAACATTTATCTGATATATTTCCTATTCAGAACGGTCTAAAACAAAATGTTTTATCGCCATTGCTTTTCAACTTCGCTTTAGAATATGTCATTAGGAAGGGCCATGGAACGTTGGAAATTTCTTGAGTGGTTGGTTTCTCAGGAAGGACTACGTTCTCGATATAAAGTTTAGTGTATGATATTGTAACAATGACAACCACACATTTCACAGATGCAGCTGTTTGGAGGTTGCTGTTATTGTTATAATCAACACAGAATTTTGCAGTTGTGCAGGGGTATTGATGGGTTACGACACTATACACTATACAATGTTTTGGAAGAACCTATCGTTTCTATTGTAAAACGACAGATGCTGTTTTGAACTATATAATGCAGGAACGAAAGTCTAACAAGAATCTGATTTATCTTTAACAGCATTCATATAGTAAAATTTATAAACAAAATCAAATACTTGGTACGACGAAAGCAATAACATACTGCAAGACCGGAATTTGTTTAATTAGGAAACTATTAGCTTGAAGTAGAACAATTAAATGTTATATAAGATATGTGAGTGGACCCAAATATTTAGTTCGATGGGTGATTCATGGTAACAAAGAAGAAAACGGTAATAAATGTTATGAGAATCGCAACCTGACAATGCTATAATGATAGTATTTGGAACCAATATAGGCACAAACGCGCTTCGTATTTCATAGTTTAATGCAGTACCCTGATTTAAACAACCCTGATATAAACAATACAGAATCGAAATGCAATACTAAAACCAGTTGTTGCCAAAATGGCAGGCTCGGCTTTGAGAAGGTTAATGGCAGAGTATAAGCGTAAGTTTTATGTCGTTTGTAAGGCGTTAGTTCTCAAAACGAATCTACAAATAACAATAGGATTTTATGTCTTTTCTGTAAGTTTAGCCATGTTGCACAAGCTCCAATGTGTATGTTCTTTGAAACGTGACTGGCATATTGGAACGAGAATGATTTTGAATCGTCCTGATGGCTGTGTCTGCATTCATAAAAATGATGAGAATAAGATGAAACTGTCGAGTTCATTTTGCCGCGTGGTCGACCACATTACTGGTGCAATAATTGGAACTGGCAGGAAACGTTTGAATGAGAAGTTTATGTTCTGTAAGATACTCGTATTTTGTTGAGGATGGGCATGGTTAAAGGAAATTTAATTTTTTCTCCATATTTGGCGTTCGTAGCAGGAAAATAGTAATTGCCAGATTTTCCTTCAAGAAACACACTCATTACAAGCTATAGTGTTGTAATCTGGGCTGATAGCAGATTATGCTTATTTTGTACATGTTTCAGAACTAACTCTTAATCCACCAGAAGGTATAATTGCTGGCCCTGTTAATGAAGAAAATTTTTTTGAGTGGGAAGCACTAATAACGTAAGTTGTAGAAGTCTTATTGAACAATATTCCTGATGACTGAAAGGTAAATTTTGACTGTTGATATGCCACCATAAAGGATGAAATAAAATTGCAGGATTAGTTCCCTTTATATGCCCAGGGGGAGCAGAGGGCTCTACTCATTCTCAACTTTGGTGTTAGGTAAGGGTGAGTGGTCAGTGTCATAACCTGGCTGCGATTTACCCCGAGAAAAGGACCGTGTTACCCATCGACAGAAGGCTGGATGGGCCCCAGAGCTGGTCTGGATGCAGAAGCTAGAGGAAAAGTCCCCCGCCCTTATTTGGGACCAAACCCTGGTGATTCAGTCCATAGTCAGTCACTATACTGACTGAGCTACCAATCGTGTCATAACCTGGTCACGATTTATCCCCAGGAAAGGGCCCTGTTACCCATTTGACAGAAGGCTAGATGGTCCCCAGAGCAGGTCTGGATGCAGAGGCTAGAGGAAAAATCCTTGATCATCCTATTTATAGTCAGTCACTATACTGACTGAGCTACCCATCTCATGATGGTAATGAAAGCCTTTTTAATATTTGGCGGTGAGAGTTCTATACTATTCATTGTTCTCATAAAAGTGACAATGACTGTTATGTTGCAGTTAAAGAAAACAATACATTATGTGGAAGTGGAGCGCCAGTTCTGCATGCAGTTTACCTGAGGATGTATACATAAAGAGACCAATATGAATTTTAAAATTAATTTAATGGAGCCCAGTCATTGCAGAGCTGATCAAAGGATTACCTTCCTTTTATTGAAGTCAAAGTTTCATTACTATCACAAGAGCCTGTAACTTATCCTTATCTTGAGTTAGATGAATCCAGTCTACACATTTACATCCTATTGCTTTAAGATGCATTGAAATATTATCATCACATTTATACCTATCTTGTTTTCCTTTACTGACTGAACAGAAACATAACAATGGTCCAAATGAGTGTTATTGCAGTATATGCATAGACCTGTTTGTGTGCATGCATGTGTAGGTATGCACATTTGTGCATAGTCCTGATTCTGTTTTTGATTCCTCTTATAATTATTTGTAAACCACATTCTGTGTTCTTGTTTAAAATAACTGTATGCATATCTTTTAAATATTCTCATAACAGTTTAAAGGAAACTTTACAAATAATGGTGTCTTTTCTTGTGCCAGAATGGCACCCAGAATTGTTTGTTCATCTTTCTTGCAGTGGACCAGAAGGAACATGCTTTGAGGGAGGAGTATTCCCAGCAAAACTGATTTTCCCACCAGATTATCCACTGAGTCCACCAAAGATGCAGTTTACTTGTGAAATGTTCCATCCAAATAGTATGTATTTTGTTATGTATTAACTCTGGCTTATCCAACATTTAGAACAGGGATTCTCAATTTGCAGCCACATCCTATTTCTGTATGATCAGTTTGAGTATCTCCCTTCCAGCTGCACTTGATATAAAGTTGGTATCTGTCTTTGATGTTTGTCAATCAGTTTTTGGATGCCTTCCTGTTTCCATCACATATACTTACAGTATCCTTTTGTGTATTGCTTGCTTGCACACTATTCCACAAGAGTAGATTGTAGTAGCCTGAAATGTTAATGCCACTGTGTGCTCCTGACCACATCACGTCATGTGATATAAAAGAAGAGAGAACTTTAAGTCTGAGCTTGTAAGGATAATTATGTTTGTGCTATTCTGGTTTCTGATTAATCAAGTCTGATAAAGTTTTTGGCACAGCAAAGGTAATTAATTATAGCAATATGCACCCTATGACAAAAGCAGTTGTGAACAACAATTTGTTAGTAAGACTTAATAAACAGGTTTAATAAAGCCACTACGATTGTATTTACTTCATTGTACTCAACAGTATCAAACAGTCATTCATGCTATGTATTTGGGAGGTCATGGATTTTATTCTCAGTCCAGAGATTATACCAACTGATACAAAAAATGGCAGCTGAATTTTTGATGCTTCTGTACATCTGCTGTCATGTACCCCCATCAGTTGTCAGCTTCAGTAACTTGCTGTATTCTTGCTGAGATAGTTGGCACATAAAGTATGTAGATACTTCAGGTGTGAAACAGATGCCAGCGTACCAACCCATGATGTTACCAAAGTGCAAGAATGTGATGCTGATGAGTGTGATACAAGCATTCAAAGTAAACAAAGAAATATTAGTGAGGAAATGTTGCAGTTTGTATTTTACTCTCTCTGCACCACCTGCCTACCATCTGACACTCTACTGCCAATGAAGATGGTAGAGGATTGTTAAACAAACCAAGAATCGATAATCAATAGATGTAATAGGAAGGTACAGTACTTCGTTGAAACCTGGCCACAGCACTAGCTATACTACCTAAGGTTTTCCATTATTTCTGTCAGTCCTTCCAGGAAAATGCTTACAGCGGACCACATCCATTCCAGATCACCATACACAGGATGTGACATATCACCTTAAATACAGAGGTGCACTGTAATGTAGCCACATTCTTATTCTTATACAGAGTAATATCATTTAAATGAAGAGGTAGTTTGTTCTGTAGGAGAGGGTACATTGTTGCTGATTGGTTGTTTGATGTGTAATTCTGTGTATCTTGCTTTTTGTATAGGTATTAACCATATGCATTCCATTTACAAACTGAGTAGCAATGTGTATGAATTCTCTTCACTTCCCTTTGATTTACATCAGTAGAATAAACTTCACATCTACAACTTTAAATGTGTGTGGTTCTCTATATGGTTTAAGAATCAGACATGTTCATATATCATTTTTGTACTCAGAGATTACCCAGTTATCCTTAGGTTTTCATGGCAGGGGTTAAATGTGTAGCTCTCCTGGTTTTCAGGGATAAGCCACAGTGATTGCTGGTTTTCTGATTTTTTTGCAAATACTGCAACTGCAGCCTTCAGGATGAAAGC